TCAATACCTTCCAACACAGTCTTCATTCCAGACATATCGTCTTCGAAGCCGACGCATTTGTCTTGTTTCTCGTCGAGTTAAGCTCCCTAAAGAGTTGGCCACATACACTCTGGAGTCTCTTTCTTTTCAACCGAAAGGAGGTCTTTATCATTCGCCAAATTTCTCGACTTCTCTTCGATTTCGTTATTTTTTATTCTTATTTTTTGCTACTTTTTAACAATTTCAAGTTTTTCACTTGCTTACTCAATTAATTGTTTTCTTTTTATCCCCAAACCAGTCGGCTCGTCAAATATAGATTCGGTACATTTTATAGTATTTTAACTATATTAATATCATTTCATTGTTTAAAACATAAATTAAAAGTAATTTAATTTAAACTTTTGCTAAATACAAACTGCTTTAAATATGCTATATTTTTTAAATTGGTATCTAACAATATTAGTCCACATCCAATCACTTAAATTATATATATAATATTAAATTACTTAATTATTAAAATTATATTTAAAATTATTGTCATTTATACTTATTTATTCATGAATGTAATAATTTAATAAGGTGTATTAATATACAATATTTTTTAATTTATATTATAATAATTATTAATATAATTAATCAAAATTCCCATAATCAAAATATTTAGATATTCATTTTATTTATTTAAGTTATTAAACCTTTTTAATGGAGGGACTTTTGGAAAAATAGGACTTTAGTTTAAATCCTTGATCATTGATCCCTCCCAACTTTGCTCATTCGTGGAGATGGGCAGGGGGGTTTTATTCATTTTTATACCCACGTTAATAATAGTTATTCCTAAAAATAGCAACTCAGTTGTAGTTATTAAAAAACTTCAAGCTTACTTTCTGAGATAGTTATTTTGAAAATATAATTAAATTGTATTATTCAATTATTTTGCTTAAAATTAAATAATGAACAAATTTTTTCCAAAATTAACATATAACTTAACAATATTTTTTAACAAATTTTATATATAATTTGCTATATTTTGTAAAAATGTTACAAATAAATAATAATATTTGATAAAACATTGAGCAAACTTGATGTTATTCCAAAATATTAACAAATAAAAAGGTATTTTTAACAAAAAACATGAATATTTATATTAACGAGCAAACTTTAAAAAACATACAAAATGAGTGTTCCGCCAAAACTTTCTTTCGTTTACGATCAAAATCTCTTTTTGAAAGGATATATTCATGTTGAATTTAATGATAAATCTTATGTTATGTGTTTATTTGATGGAACGTGGATGAAAAAAAACATCACTTGCAAATCACGCAAAGTTGAAAAATGAAACCAGTCAATTGAAATTAATAAATGAAAAAAAAGAAGAAGCAATGAAAAATTATTCAATGTTTTTCAAATCAGATTTAACAAGTGATTATAAAGCAAATCCAAAAACGTTACCTGATTATACTTCATTTTTTCCAAAAAGGATATTGTAACAAAGTTTTTTAATTATATGAGTATAAGAGGAAAAAGAACAAACATTGCTATGATAGAATCAGCAAAAAATGAATTTACACAATTATCGGTTTTAAATCAAGTTCAAAGAAATTCCGACCAAAAAGAAGTCTGTGTTGACAATGTTATCAATGACCATATTATCCATAGTTTTAGTTGCAACAATGATGAAGATATAGAACCCGAAACCACTGTTATAACATCGGCGTTTACGGTTGTTCCTGATGAACCAGAAGATGTTCCAATCCCAACTATCAAAAAACAAACACATAAAAAGGCACAAAATCTTTCTGCTGCCGAGTTTGATGATGGACTATTTAGAAAAACAAGTTTATTACCAGCAACTACTTGGCCTTGGTATAAATTAATATCGGCTATTAAATTGTTTACTTTCCCACCCGGTGTAAATCGATTCAATAGAAAGCGTTTTTGGATTGTATAGATGTGTTGTTTGATTATTACTTGCATTCAAAATATTGTACAAAGTTTGAAAAAGAAGCATTTGAATTGTTCCAAAAAAGAATTGTAGCATTCGAAATCACTTGTATAAATATTGAAGCTAGGTTATCCGAGTCACAAGTTAATGCAGTTAGTGATGATTTATTTGTCTTTCTTAAAGTTTACAATCCAAGTCTGTTAGACAAAATCAATTATCTCGGCATCAGTAGCCGTAATTCATTCAGAGTAGCAACAGATTTTAATGTGTTGGCAAAATCCGCATTTCTATGTGAAATCATAGACTGCGACTGTATGGCTTTATCGGGTGATAGCTCGAGCAAAAATGAAGAAGAAAAATATGTGATATTAGTAAGAATGTGTAAAGGAAGAACATTCAAAACCTTTCCTTTGGTAACACAAATAAAATGTGGTGGTTCTTCTGCTCAAAAAATTGCAGATTGGCTCTTTTCGGAATTGAATCTACTCATTTCAAATTTTCCATTTGAAAGAATTGTAAATAGTTGTTGGGATGGTGCACTGAATGTTCAAAATTCGATACAATTTTTCAATGATATATTAACAGCTTATAAAGCAGCACCAAAAGATTTGGTCAGTTGGTTTAACAGCTCTAATTGGTGTTTTGCACATTTAACTGCACTTGTTGGTGTTAGTATGATGAAAAGTGCAGAGGGTGAATTAATTGTTTTATTCACTAAGTTTTGCTGCCAAAAGAACAACCGTTTGGCTTTAGAAAAATTCAAAGAGGATAGCGCGTTGTATGATGAATATGGAAAGTTAAAAGCAGTTGCAGAAACAA